ACCGGCTGCCGCGGGCCGCCGCCGCCCGCCCCCGCCCGCCACTCCGCGCTCCCACAATCAGAGATTGTATCACGGCCGGCATTAGTAGATAACATCGCTCGAAGGCTCCCGGCCGATCGCCAATAGTACGGCGCCAGTGGTCTGTGTCAAGGTAGTCTAAAACGGGCGCCAGTGGTCTGTGTCGAGGCGGTCTAAAACGGGCACGACTCGGAGCCACTTTAGACAAAGCATTAACGTGGCTGAGCGACAGATATCTGGAAGTCAATCTTTATCGGGTTAGTGTTTTGCTGCTTCTTTTCTCAAATAACAATGTGTGACACTAAAATGACAGCAAGAAGAATCCTGATGGAAAAAGCCGCTCTCTTATTCATGACTGATATGGTATAAGCCAAAAAATGATATGCCTGCATGAGTCGCCATCACATCACGCTGTGGCACACACTTGTTGGGGTAAGGCGATGGCGGTGGATTTGCACACCCTTCACTAATCACGCCCATGACCTGACGCCGAGAACAAACAAGTCTGCAGCAGGCTTTGTTTCGCAAAGAAATACCAGACCGCTATCAATATTTATCTGAGCATAAGCCAGCCGCTGTTCATCCCATAACGTAGAGCGGCGTGATTCATGGCAGCGGGCGTGCCCCGCTTCATAATCAGTGACAGAGCAGCACAACAAACTAGAAGCATGGCAACTGCAGCTGTGTAAGCGCATCTGCAGAGCACCGAGTCCAGCACGCCGGCAAGGCGTCCGTAATTACACGAACAAACGACTGACAACAGCACCGCTCTGTCCCGGGGACACACCCATCCCGGTCGCGGAGCTAACAGTCGTGACGATCGTGACAGCCTTAAAGAGGTCTTGAATCACTGGCGACAGTTCATGTCGGTGCGGGGCGCGCACAGAACTAAGTGGCGTCTGCACTTAGCCGGCTTTATTACATTGGGGGATAAAATGCACCCGACCGACTACAGCTACAGCACGGGAAACGCGCTACGCTTTCGCAACAGTCCGGATTGAAAAACTGATCAATTTCCTTGGTAGAAGGCTTTGAGAGATAGTTGTACTTCACACCATACCCATGCAATCCCAGGTAAAAACATTTCGCGCCGTCGCCATTTTGTTCTGACGTTTCCCATACTCTTTAATAGCCCAGCCTGCTGCTTAAAACAAAAATAGCGCCCGCATCGCTTCCCGATGCCATTCACCCCACCACACCGTGAGGTTCCTATTGTCGAAATGCTCACCTCTATCATCGTGTGAAATTACTTGAGCTTTGGGGCACGACTCATTGTCAATGATAAAGCATAATGGTCCGCACTCTTCATCCAAAAAAGAATGAAATGGCTCTACAACGGTGTAAAACTTGCATGGTCACTGCGACCAACGTGCGGAACGAATTGGAGCCAAGCCGTTAATATCGATTTTTGTAGAAAGAAGTGGGCGTGAATCGGTCACACAACAGACGTTAAAGCGACACAATCTCGGTCAAACAACAGACGTTAAAGCGACGCAATATCGCTGGCAGGCACTGCAGCCGTTTTAATTATACGATTAGCAGCGCTGGCGCTGATGACATTTTGAGAAGGACCCCGCTCCCCAAGGTGGCGGTACACATCGCCAATAGGAGGAACACGGCGCCAATCGCAATGTGCATATGGATTAGGTGGGCGACGAGGATCATGTCCGCAGTGTAAGTCACACCATCACTGTCACCACAATCTGGGTGGCATATTGATAAGGGCCATGCCCCAACGCAGCACGAGTGTAACTGAGCCACAGCATGATGCCGGCGGAGGAGTGTAGGCACTGCTCAGGATATGATTGCTACTGAGGGTATAATCCTACAGCGAGCAGGATCCTGCTCTCAGTAGGATTATACCCTCGGCAGCGCTCACACTCCTCCGCAGGGATCACCCCAGCTGTGGTCACGCTCCCAGCAGGAATCACGCGCTCGGCAGGGCTTCCACCCCGGGTGAGGGTCGCGCCGGCATTTGCGACCAAAGCAGCACAGTCGGTGTCGCCCTCGGCACACAGCTTCTTCCATCACACTATGTGAACTGGACCAAGAGAGCGACAAAGCTGAGTTTGGCCGATTTGTTCCACGGATAATCTAGCTCCTGGCCGGAACGCATTTGCCCTTGAGCATGACGGGTGCCAAACTGATGTACGGCACTCGCGAAACGTCGCCATTACTGTTGAACATGACACATTGCTGACAGCATCAATCGCCCATCAGTCATTCATCCACGTATCCAGAAGCGGGCACTCCTTCGCGCACAGCCTGGCGCGGCTCCATTCTGGCCGCACAGCACACAGCCGAGTCCAGCACACGTCCGTCGGCGGTGCAGCCGGCACACCGGCCGGCCGCCTCCCCGAGACCGGCGGCTGTGGCGGCCGTGCGTGTCGCGGCCGGCCTTTGTCCCGGCCCGGCCCGGCCTGGCCAGATAGCGGGGCCGGCCCGGCCGTCGCCGATCTCCGCCCGCGCCCGGTCGGCCCGTGATCGCGGCCGGCGATCTGGACCGTCCTCCGCCTCCGGAACGGCCTACACCGGCGAGCCAGCGGCGGCGACGCTTGTCCTGACCGCTCGGACGCTGTCCGCAGCCTCAGAGCCCGTGTCCGACGCCGGATCAGCCCGCCCTATCTCAGATCGCGAGCGAGCAAGCACGGCTTAATGGCAGAAAAAGGCTGGAACATGTTTACAGGATTAGGAGGAGACCTTCGAATGGCCCTGGGAACTGTAACGTTCTCGTTTGACGCCAAGCTTTCGAGGCTGGGTTTTCGAACTCGCGGTGCGCTGCAGTGAACTCTGTCGTGACTCATGAGTGACCTTTCAAAGTCCACAAAGGCGTGAATGCATTCCGGACTTGGGATTTGCAATAAGGCCATGCCCTGCTGACGCTCCTTTCTTTCCTATAACTTCGGGGCTCGTAAATACTTCTGCTTGTCACAGAGCTCGACCAAAGTGTAATTCATGCCTGGCTTCCAATTAGTCATTTCTCGGTACGGATAACGGCAGCACTATCTTCCGAATCGACCGCATGGAGACCATCACTGCCGTCTTAATCTCACTGTTCCGAGGCACATAATCGGACACGACCTCTCAATCGCCGCCATGGAGTCCCCACACCCGAGTCATCAGCCCACCTCCAGCCATTAACTGCCGCCCTCCCTGTTCGGTCAGCATCCAGCCAGCGGCGGTAGATGGGACCACATTCAGAGCTCGAGCGGCTGGCTCAGTCTGAGCAGGTTGGTACGGGTTCAGGACTAGTTCGGGGGTTTCGCGCAGTCAGCAGAGGCGCGGCGATATGCGCCGAGAACTCCTCACAGGTCCGGTGGCAGACCTGAAAAAGTCAGCAGAGATTCGGCCCCAGACTCTGGGAACTCGACACAGACCCGGCCAGTGCGTCAAAATTCTCCCAGCAAAAGGTGACATGGAGACCAAAATGTCTTGGACAGCGCCTCAGATACCGCCACAATCGGCGGAAAATTATAGTTATCCATGAATGGTATAACACAATTTCGAAAAGAATCCAAAGCTGAGACTCTGAAACGTCTATAAAGGGCGACATTTTCCATGCAACTTTGAGTTTTGACACACCGGAACCGGCGCTGAAACCAGAAATATTGGCGCAGAAATGAAGAGGTCGGCAAATGCACGAAAACCCGACGCCACACCCGGAGACGTCGACGGACACCCGGCGTAAAACCCTGAAATGTCCGCAGAGAGAGACAACGCTACACTCGGATAAGTCAACAGGGACCCGGTGCCAAACCCGGAGAAGTCGGTGGAAACCCAGTGCCAGACTCGGAGAAGTCGACAGAGACCCGACGCCAGACTTGGAAAAGTCGACACAGACCCGGCGCAAGACTTGGGGATGTCAGCACGCACCCCGCGCCAGAGTCGGAGAAGTCGGCGCAGACCCGGCGTCAGACTTGGAAAAGTCGGCGCAGACCCGGCGTCAGACTTGGAAAAGTCGACACAGACCCGGCACCAGACTTGGGGACGTCGGCACGCACCCGGCGCCACAGTCGGAGAAGTCGGCAGAGACCCAGCGCAAGACTTGGAAAAGTCGACACAGGCCCGGCACCAGACTTGGGGACGTCAGCACGCGCCCGGCGCCAGAGTCGGAGAAGTCGGCGCAGGCCCCGCGTCAGACTTGGAATAGTCGGCACAGACCCGGCGCCGGACTTGCCAGACTCGGGAAAGTCGGCACAGGCCCGGTGCCAAACCCGAAGTCGGCACAGACCCGGCGCCAGACTTGGAAAAGTTTGCACGGACCCGGCGCCAGACTCGGAGAACTCGGCACAGACCCGGCGCCAAGCCCGGAGAGGTCGGCACGCCGTCGGCACCGGCTCGTGTCGTTCCAGGGAAAGGTACGGCAACTTCGTCGTCCACCGTACGGCGGTGACAATAGGGCGAGGCTCAGGCGGCCGCAACGGCCCGCGGCGATGGAGGGACGTGGCCGGGTCAGTGGCACGGCCCGCTACCGGCCCAGGCATCGGCCTCGTAGGAACAGGGGCTCCAGAAGCAGCGTTCTCCCCGCTGGGGTGGGAAACACAACCATCCGACTTGGGTATGCCGTACCGTATTTGCTGGCGTCGCATCGTGCTTGTACTGAGTGTCTACTGTGACTCTTTTATCCCACCAAAACAATTCATTTCAAGTCGTCTTGAAACAGGTCTCTACTGTGCGAGAATAATAACGCCGACTCAAGTTCACCAACAAGCAAACATCATGAGCTTCCAACATCCCCATATCTGAATTATCCATCAGCGAATTGCAGGGGCCTCGTTTCGCGGAGCTGTACGGCAGCGCGTGTTCAGATCGGCACCACCCGGCCGCGGTCCGTCACACTCCAGCCCACAGGAACTACGGTACAGAGCGGCTCCCGGCCCGACCGGCAGCGTCCGGCAGAGCCGGGCCGACGGGCCCACCCCACCGACAGTGCAGCCCGATCACCAGACACTCGGCGAAGCACCGAGCCCGGCGCACGTTACCTGGGTCGCTTCGGCTGGACGCCCGCCATGGGGTCGAGCGGCGCCGACTGCTGCAGGCCGGCGGCGGCCGCCGCCGCCGCCGCGCCCATGTACTCGGCCGGCAGCTGCACGTTGGGCGGCATGTAGGCGGCCGGCGTCTGGTAGTGGCCGGCGTACATGGCGCCGGCGTACATGGTGCGGGTGCGGGCGCGCCGGCCGGCCGGCGCCGGCCGCTGTCCGCGCCGCTAATGGAACGGCCGCGCCGCCCGCCGCCGCCGCTTATCGCGCTCGATAGCGCGACAATTAATTACCGGCCCGATCCGGCGGCGGCCGTCGATAATCAATCGCCGTCGGCGGACGCGCCGCGCTGTCACCGGCGGCTCGGCGGCGCTCGCTGACTGCAGGCGCGGCGAGCGGACGGCAGCTCACAGAGCGCGGGCGCGGCGAGACGCCGACTGACGCGCCGACGCCGGCTGACGGGCTGACCGCTCGCTGGCTGCCCGGCCGCACCGCCGCCTCTGCTGGCCGCCCGGCTGTCCACTACCGCCAGTAGCTGCACATAAGAGCGGGCGCGCGCGCGCTCGACCGCCGTCCACCGCGGCCGACACCTGACCAGGTCGGCGGCGGCGGCGGCGGCGGCGGCGGCGGCCGACGCAACAGGCCCCGCCCGCCGCGCATGCGCACAGCTGGCCCGTTTGATCGATGGCGTCGGCGCTCGGCCGCCAGCCGACCCGCATTGCACGAGTGGGACGGGCCAGCCGGAGCCTGGATGGAGGGCCACAGTCGGGAGCGTGCGAGGACGGGCTCCGCAAACACAGGACTGTTGTGACGCGGCGATAACGACCTCGCTGACATCCGGGACTGGGGACTGTTTGTTTATCTATTTACCAAGGGAAACTTGTGGCTTGTTTCGGCGGCGGGCGGGCTGATTACAAACAAACGTTTGCTAGAAATGCCCACCACATGAACAGCATGAAGGACAGCTGACTTCAAAGACCCACCAAACACAGGTCCTCGACGAACTCGTGACAAAGGTCGTTGCCAGGTTTCGTCGACCCCGGACTGGACGCTAACAAAGCCTTAAATCCCTCATTCCGGCAGATCATGCCATGCCTACTTAAGATCAAGGCAGCGGCTCCACACTTAAGATGGGGCCCACAGATCTGGCGGCCCCGCAAAGCACAGCGGCGCAGTTTCCGCATCACGCCAGCAGCGCTCAGCACACAAAGAGAGATTGCAGCTCAATGCGCATCCGATCTGGCCGGCGCATGGCAGCCTGTTTTCCTGGCGTGTTGCAGTGCGAGCTCCGGCATCCGGTGGCCGGGCTTTACGAGGCTGAGCTGGCGGCACCCGAGCGGGGCCTGCGCTCGCGCTGCGGCGCCGTCACAATCTGGCCAGCCGGCCGGCGCACGGTCCGCCGGTCTTCCCTCCGTCTCGTGGGTACCGTAACGGCGAACCGCATCCGCGGTGTCGGAACAGGTCATTCTGCCGCGCGCGCTGACGGACGGTGGGCCACCATCCGGAAAATTGACCTCCGAGGGAACGGAGCAGACGGGGGAACGGAAATACAATGCGAGAGAGAACGGAGCAGACGGCGGTGAAGAACTACAATACGAGGGAACGGAGCAGACCGGAGTACGGAAGTACAACACAAGAGAACGGAGCAGACGGGAGATAAAGAACTACAAACGAACACTCCGGAAACGTGTTGGACCAATACCACTGTACAGGGTGCACAATTCAGACCCAAAGAAACCAGTTGTGATGGGAGTAAAAGTGCCGCGGTTCACAGGTACTGTCTTGAGACAAAACCACGGATTACAAATGGTAAGAAATGACATATCCTACCGATCCTGGTCCTGACTTCAGCACGTCAGTTCCCGCGCCAAGCCATGATAATGCAGGCTAGAGCAAATCTGCACCAACAGATCGATTCACCTTGAACGAACACGTTTATTAGGATTACGATCAATTCTCAACCGGAGGCCTCCCTTTGTCTGCACCTGGACACCGCCTGGGACAAGCCGTCCACACCAGATTTTTGTAGCATGGCGCAGCCCTTCGATTTAAGATCGTGTACGGAAAAAAAACAATGTCTGTGGCGACGTTGATCACCATATCGAATTCATAAAACCACCGAGCTCATCTCTGACACTAATACTCCCTTCCGCACGTCTCAGAAGCCGCCGCCGCGCGCCGCTATTTAACGGAGCGCACGCGTCGGTGCGACGCGGCGCCGGCCTGCCCCACAGCAGCTCGCTGGAAAGTGGAGCTTCCGGCTCCGCCCACGCGACATGGCTCCTCGGCTTTCCCGAAACGAGCCGACTTTCCGGCTCGGCGACGCGGAGGATTACCGGCACAAAGCCGCGGCGATCCGCCCAGCTGCCGCACTATTCGACACGCGGCCGGGGCCGCTCCGGCGTCGCAGCCCTCCGAGGGTCCGCCATCGATCCTGGTTTCGGCCGGCGTCCCGACGGTAGCGCATCCGCGCCCGAGGATCTCCGGCGGACAGCCTCGGCCAGCCTCCGGACGCGTCGGGCCAGCGCAGATTCGAGACGGGGCTGGAGACGACTGCAGATAGACACGCGTGCCTAACATGCGTTAGCATACCACAAAACAGGACGACTGTTGTACTGGTCGGGGCCAAGACGCCGCTGGCAACGATTGGAGGCAAAAGCGCGCGCGTTACGGGTGTTGGTATGCCGTAGGGCAGTGCGGACGTTACACCGTCGAGCGTAAGAGACGAGACGGCCGACGTGGGCGCGCCGGCACCGCCAGGTGCGGGGTGATGGTGCCGCACGAAGTACGCGGACGGCCCGCCGATTCAACAGCTGGTGACGCCGCTGCGGGCGTCGGGCCGCCGCATAGCGGGCTCGCGACAGCGGCGCGACGCCAGCCGTGCAGAGCGCCGTGTGTTTTTGGCAGCGCGCGGCGACGGCCGCGGTGCGGCTGCGGCGACCGCGGCGCGGCTGTCGTGGCGTGCGGCGGCGGCTGCCATCTTGTTTGGCGGAGAGGGTCGGTAATTTGCCGGCGGGTAATGATAGTGGCGCACACCGGCTGTCTGTTACCGGCCCGGGTAATAATGGGTAATGATACGATGAGCGGCAACTGATTGCACGCCGACTGACGCCGAAATCGGGAAAAAACGAGCCGCAATCACATGCAAAACGTCGCAAGCACCAAAATAGTCGCCGACCGCACGGTGGTGCCGACCTTATTGCACAGGGGAAGCAGGCCGCATTTTGATATCAAGCCATGAAATTATACGTTATCAATACGCCAAAGCGTTCAATCGGAACGGCGACGTTGGAAAGTGTCTTTTTGTACCGGTGTACGTGACGCCATTCCGGCCGTAATTAAAAACGGCACCGCGTGCGGCGGGGGTGGGGCCTCTGGCCGCGGGAGGCGGGGAGCCCGCCGCTGGCCGGACGGCGCTTGTGACGGCGCTTGTGACGGCGCACGTGACGGTGGCACGGGCGCGGCGCGGCCCGCTCCGACCGCGCGTCCGGCCGGCGGCGGCGCCGGCTGCACGTCCGCGGCGGCGGCGGCCGCCCCGACCGGACGTGGCCGCTAGACGGGGCGAGGCGGCCGGCCGGGCCAGCCGCGAGCTGGGCTCCGCCGGCCCAGCGGCGGCCTCGCTTAGGTTTCGCTGGCCCGCGGCGGCAGGGCTGGACAACAGCAGTAGCAGACGTCGGTCGGTGCGGAGTGAACTGTGGGTGGGCGCGCGTGGACGGGTGTGAGGAGCAGCTGAGACTGCGTGCACGTGGAGCGGAGACGGAGGGCTCGTCATCACGCGGCCGGCTGAGGTGTCGCTGGAGTCGACCGGCCGGTGACGCCGACGCCGACGCCGACGCCGAGCCGCTGCAGCAGCGGCGGCAGCGCCCGGGTCACCGCGCCCCCACACCAGGTACGTGGCGCCGGCGCTGGCAGATTCAGACGGAGGGCTCGTCACCACGCGGCCGGCTGAGGTGCCGCTGGAGCCGGCCGGCCGGTGACGCCGACGCCGAGCCGCTGCAGCAGCGGCGGCGACGCCCCAGGTACCTGGCGCTGGCGTCGGCAGGTTCAGCGCGGTGGAGATCGCGTCGCAGGGGGCGCAGCACGCGGAACCCGCTCGCGGTGTCTGGCCTTCGGCGCGAACGGCTAGGTCATGCGGTGTCACTATCGACCATCACCTGCCGGTGGTGGCGCCGGCGTGGGACAATATCCCGTTTCAGCCGGAACACGTCCTAGATCGGGGTACGAGGAGTGCCGGATCATGCTGGCAGGGGTACACGGTGCCTGCCGTGTTATCCCTACACATGCGTGAAGACTGCCCTGTAGCGGAGGGAGGTTTACATGCAAGCACCCATGTTCATTCTCTGTTAAGTTGTACCGCGGACTCCCCGGTTTTACCACTTAGTCATTTCTTGGAAAGCGTTCACACCTGCAAATGGAGCAACGCAAGGATAGCTAACTAGCTTGGACGAGGAAAACTGCCATCTATTTTTTTCTCCAGGAACATACCTTATCTGCAATTCATCGCATCAAGATACAGTGCTAATTAGTATCCAAAGTTTCGCAAAAGTCACGACGCCTAGCGGGGACAAAGCTTTATTCGCGAAGTTTTTTTTCGTGGAACACAAAACTTCAGATGATATATGCTGTAAACTGAAAGCTGAAAAAGCGGCTGATAACAATGATTACAAAATATCACCACTGATTCCAAGTACACGACAAATACGAAAAACAGTGACAAAAGATATCATCCAATGGATCCCAATTCGGGCAAGCTTTCCCCGCTCTTTCGGGTAAGTCCCCCCCCCCCATGTTCTTGAGCAAGCAGACCGACGGATGACTTACGCGGAGGCCTCGCTTGCTGCTCCAGCCTATTCTTTCGAGAAGACGCCATGACCCCGGCGGAAAATCACCATCAAACAGCTGTTGCGGTGCTGTGTGAATTTATGATACGATGCAACCTGTATCGGCGTGGAAAGCCCACGAGAATGAGCTCGGCGAGAGGATGGCAAGAGTCAGGTCATGACACGTAAGGCACGTGAGAACAGTGTTCAAGTGTCTCACTGATTTTAAAGCCGAGACGTAACGTCTTAAACACCGAAGCGCTGCAATGCAAGCCCAACAGTTGGGTATTACGACGCGCAGACGAGCTGACTATCAGGAAGGGGCGAACTGGTATCTGTCAGGATACATACTGGGAAGCCCGATCCGTCAGTTACTTGGAACATTGCTGGCCTCTCGTCCTTCGATTGTACTGGTGTGGCTTCAGAGCGGATTGAACCCGCGATTGGATGTTTTTGGGGTCCTCAAAAGACCACCAGGGGCATCTTGTGTCCAGACTTGGTGGATCAGAAATATCAGCTGTCAAAACGACGTCACTGGCGACATCGTGGGCAAAAAACTTGGCAGCATATTCGCTCCACACGTGACAATCTGTTCGTTATTGTTTACACCTTGCCGCAAATCGACTCAAATCATGCCAGCTCACCCAAACCTTAGGCTAGGTGATCAAAGGTCAATAACGCTTTAACTATATTCATATTGCAGGCAATCTGAGCGCCCCTTTTATCAAATGACGTACCAGATATGTTCACATGGCGTCCTTTTAAATTTGCCTCACATGCTGCAAGCGCGACCATGTAATACATCAGGCCACCCGCGCCAACTTTGCTTCGTGCTATGCATCGAATACGGTGACGAGAGTTCAAAGGATGTGTGCATCCTGTTTGGAGACCTCCGTATTTCGCGTTCAGATATAACACGCGAACTCGAGGATGACTTGCGATTTCAGGTCTGAGAGTCACTGATGACGACGCGTTCTGGGTTGTTACATACACGGCTATCGACTGCAAATTAAATCAGCAAAATCGGCCACTTGGTCTAGATAAAAGGATGGACAAAAAACTCACACAAATTTGTGTATGGTTGAATACCACAGCCAATAATGGCTCAGGCTACGAATTCATACCATGACAGTAAGTGTTTCACAGTTCAGGGGCTCACAGCTAATGCAAATGTATAAAATTATACAAAACATTTCCACAGACTCAAAGATAACTACACGTCCGACCAAAACCCTCTTGTCCCCATGTCTCAATCTCCACTGCACATATGATCGCTCCGTCGCGATGATTGGGAACGAGCCGCACCACAGAGACCAGTTTCGAAAGGGGAAAGCCCAACAAGGGTTTTCACCGGTCCTTCAGTAACGAAACGCCCACTGCACCGAACTAAGCGTTGATCGCTTTCTCCGTCATCCTCTACAGTTCGTGTTGGACTGACGGAAAATACGTGCATAAAACGAAGCGGACTAATCTAGTTAGACTGCAGGCTGCCGTTGCTTCCCATCTAATGCATGCCAGATCCTCATCTTCGGGCGAATCGCCTTCACTACGAAGACCGCAATACATGTGTTAAAGTGGCAGCACAGGAGTTTGGGCCTGTTGGGGTTGACACACTGTCTTTCGGAATATCGATTTTCCGGCATTTCAATAAACAAATAATAAACATACATGTCGTCGTCATTGGGACCTTACAACGCACTCAGCTGCTGAGACTACATGGCGTCGCGTGCCTCTTACCCTGGCAGGAAGGTCGGGCGCCGCGGGACAAATATATATATATATATATATATATATATATATATATATATATATATATATATATATCGCGATGAGCCAGACAAACCCGTCACGATATTTTGGGGACAGATCGGCTAAAGAACGTGTAAACGTTCAGGTAATGCCTGGAATCGGCACTGCGTTGCATGTAACCGGGCGCGGTCCAGCAGGTTCGAAATCCTCCTAAGGCCAAGCCGCTGACCCGGCAACAATGGACCATTTGGCTCCGTCTGGCGGTCTCGCGGGGCGCACCGTCACCGCAGGGCGCAGATCAGGTCAGAGACCTTCGGAGAGGTCCATGGATGCCGGTGCGATTCCCTGGCCGGCCGAGTCTCCCGGCTGCCCCGCTCCACAGTAGTGGGCCATCACGGGTGAGCCTCAGCAGCGCCCACGGCCACCGACGTAACAACGCCCATCGAGATAAGTGGGAGGGTCCGTCCGCTCGTGCCGCTCTGTACACCGCCCGGCAACAGGCGGCGTGTCGCCGCGCCGTGAGCCCCGGAGCGCACCGCCGACCCGGCCACGGCCCGACGCCTCCAGACCGCGTGCCATCAGCCCGGTGATGGCCCGGTGACGGCCGCGTCCGGGCCGTGTCGGCGGCGGTTCGGCCCCACCGACGCCGGCCCGCCGCTGGCCGGTCCGGCCCGACGGTCACCGCCGCGCCGCGCGCCGCCGGACGGCAGATAACCGACCCAATCGGCGCCGCGTGGCCGGCCGACCAGTGCCGGGCGTTGCGACCTCGGGCAGCGGTGCTCAGTGGCCTGTACGGCACGCGGGCGACGGCCGAGAGCACGGAGCTGGGTGGCGTTCAACGCTGCGGCCGAGGGCAGTCACGGGATCTCAGCCTGGTGCGAGCGCAACACAACGCGGTCTAGTGTGAGTACAGGACCCCACATCCTAGCCAGTGTGTCAGGCATAACCACACAACCAGCGCCAATGGCCACATCGTGCGGATCTCTCGCGTATAGCGCAACAGTACGCCCTGTAGATTGACTGAGAGAATGGGGGGGGGGGGGGGGGGGGAGTCACCGGGCGCCCTGTTCGTGCGGACGGAGCGTCCCGTCGCCCTGGGTGAGTCGGGGTGGGACGGAGGGCGGAGCGCAGCGCCGCCATCTGATTTGACAGGCCGCGGACATCAACCGACGATGTAACATGCAGGCTGTCGGCGCCGCCACCCACATGCCAGCCAAGTAAAAATCAGCCGTATGTTGCATTTCGTTTCGCACCTAACGAGGGCTGATTCAGCGACAAGCCTGTAAAATGTCAGCAGCTAAATGTTGGAATGAACGAAAAACACAGCCGCTGCTGATTGCCCACTGCTTTGCACACAATGACGCTCGGTTATCCTCCCCCAAAACGGGCAGCAGCCGCAGACACTCGAAGGTCGCCAGCTATACATGAGCGCTACATTCGCCGCCCTGTTCGAGTGCCACTTCAACAGACGATCCGCGGCGGATAAAGCAGGAACATAGGGACAACAAATGTCAAAGTTGAAACAAACGGGCGCGACGTCTAAATCACAATGGATTATTATTCTCCACATTTTTGGGTGGTTGCAGAATTTCGCAACGCCGACCTGGCCAAAGATGACCTTCCATTGTCGCTATCAGCGGCGATATTTGCCTGCTGATCTGAGTGATCAGGACCACAGTTGGCTGTCAGAGGGATTAAGACTAGGGGCGCAACTATTTAACCTGTCCACCCGCCACATCTGACCTAACAAGAGCCCACGGGCTTTCGGCTTTGGGCCGGGCTTGGCTGGCTTCTGCGGATTACAAATTCAACAAACTAAATAATACACTTCGTGTGTTCCACACAACAACGAATCATGAAAATGTATACTTCGGTTTTTCTAGTAAGATTCCAAGTGACGGAAAACCGATGGCGTACACCACGCCATGAAGCCATGTGGCACAAATGAGCAATTGGATGCAAACATTTCATCGAAAAAGTTAAGAATAACTACTGAAACTACCAAACCTTGGCCTGATTTTATTGAGCAGCAGTTAGGTGGGTCATTGATTTAAACACACCCACACAGAGTGTGGGTGTGTTGAACACCTAAGAATCAATGTCAATAATAAATCAAATGATTGTGAAAGGAAATAATGAAACCACGAGATGAAGAATGGCATGACCATTAAATGACTTTCAAATAAAATAATGTGACTGCCATTGCGGTAGCCTCGCTCACTGATCAATGCATTCTAAGTTATTGGCGTATCACATGCGCAGCAGTCGTCGAAAACCCAATAGTGTGAATGCAGAGTCCGTACATTTATGCCTGCGTTTT